TACACTCTTAAAAATAAAGGTGCTTCACGATGCCATAGAAGAACCTTTTTGTCTAAATGGTTCCATAAAGAACCTTTAACATCTGAAGAACCTTTCTGTTTCACAAAAGGTTCTTTGTGGTGAAAAAAGGTTCTTCAGATTACAAAAAGGTAAGAAAGAGATGGTTCTTTAAAGAACCTTTGACTGAATGGTTCTTTGTGGAACCAAAAATGGTTCTTCTATGGCATCGCTGTGAAGAAACTTTTGAAGCACCTTTATTTTTAAGAGTCAAAGCCCAGACTTAAACCCCATGAAATTCTGTGGAATGACTTGAAGACTGCAGTCCACAAACGGTCACCATCAAATTTAACTGAACTTGAGCAGTTCTGCAAAGAAGAGTGGGCAAATATTGCAAAGCCTAGATGTGCAAAGTTAGTAGAGACAGAGACATATCCCAACAGACTAAAGGCTGTAATTAAAGCAAAAGGTGGTTCAACAAAATACTGGCACAAAGGGGTGGTCCTTTTTCTAACTCAGTGATTCTGTTTTTTTATTGATTTATTTTTTTCTGACATGTTGTTGTTTTATCTTTCGTCCTTTTTCTAACTCAGTGATTGTTTTTTTTATTGATTTATTTTTTTCTGACATGTTGTTGTTTTATCTTTCACTTGGATGTTATAAGTTGCACTGAGTAAATACAGCTGGATAAAACAAAAACTGTCGGTCTTCATTTCAGGCTGCAGAGCAACAAAATGTGATTCTTTTAAAGGTGGTGATTCTTTTCTATACCGACTGTACTTGTCAGAAATCACAAATCACTGATTAAATTGATGTAACATTTTCCAGATGTTGACTTTTGCCCACAAAGGGTTGGGGATTTGAGCACAGTATTAAATTCCTTCATGTACCTCATCCTGCACCGTTTTTAATACCTATGAACTCCATGCTGAAGGCATTTTTGGGTGCTTAGTAATAACATGATGCTGTAAATTTCACCACTGTAATGAAAATTAAAATCTATATCATTATAATAGATTATTTTGGGAAAACCAAAGTTGTTCAATTGTATAACTTTTTGTATTTTATTTTGTATAAGTTTTATTTTATTTTATTATTTATTTTATGGCAATTTGGGCTCACAGATGTTGTAAAGCCACACTCCGTCACTAATAATCGTGTTCCTGTGGCTCAGTGGTAGAGCATTGCTTTAGCAGCGCAAAAGGTTGTGGGTTCAATTCCCAGGCATTCTCCTCCATGTTTATAACCCCACAGTCTCTAGTGTCTCTCAATACATCTTTAATCTCCCTCAGTATCTCCAAATATGTAGTCGTGGCCTAATGGTTAGAGAGTTGGACTCGTAACCCAAAGGTTGCAGGTTCGAGTCTCGCAGGGATTGTAGGTGCTCTCTCCACCTTCAATACCACGACTGAGGTGCTCTTGAGCAAGGCACCGAACCCCCAACTGCTCGCCGCAGCATAAATGGTTGCCCACTGCTCCGGGTGTGTGTTCACGGTGTGTGTGCACTTAGGTCCAAAAACTGCTTCACTTTGCTGCTACTTGGCATATTGCAGCTTGCTCTTGATGTAAACAACAGGCTTCCAGTGCTTCTGCTTTCTGTGAATGGAAAGATTTGAGGTTCTGGTCTAGTTTGATATTGATTATTAACAGGGTTGGGAGGGTTACTTTTAAAATGTATTCCGTTACAGTTACAAATGACTTAATTAAAAAAGTATTCAGTAACGTAATCCAAGTACCACAATATAAAAGTAATGTAATCTGATTACTTTTGGATTACTTCAAGTTACATATGTAAATAAGTCAAAAAAGCAATATCTAAGTACTTTTAACTATGACTTTAAAATTAAAACTAATAAAAACTACAGTAAAAACTAGTAGTATTTGAAACTATTAAAAATCGTGTCTTGTTTCACTATCTAGATATTACAGCCTGTATATTTATATAAAAGTCTATGCAGACATCTAGTGGCTATACAGTTTATTATAACAGTTTTTTTTTTTTTCTTTTAACATGTACAAGTAAAAATAAATATAGTTTATACACAGCATTAAAAAATGTACACTATATACATATTAGTCCATTTTAAAATAAGCGAAATGCATGTGAAATGCTAACTTTCTTTATTTCATTGACTGTGTGGAGACTCTTTTTAGATGTAGATGTAGATTTCTACATGTTCAGGCTCATTTTCCGCTAGAAAAAAATTCCATGGTGTGCAGTCATGAATTTTAAGTCACTAACTAACACAAAATTTTAGCTAACATGATGATTTCCATGCTAGTTGGACTCGTACCTGCAAATGTTCAAGTTTGTTGAGTAGCCTTTGTTAAAGCAAGAGTCTTCATGCATAGCTTACGCTGTACAACTAGGAGAATAATTGTAGACGGGTGTTATTTGAGCACACACCAGCAGGCGGCTCACGTGAGTCAACATGTGTCAACAGAACCAGGAACTGATGAAGCAGCGCTAAATATACAGCGTTATGTAAAAATACTCATTTATTTAATTTTAAATGAAACAAATGTAATCCTGATAGTATTCCCACTTTTTACAAAATGTAACTGTAATCTGAATACTTTGTTTTTGATGTAACTGTAACGGATTACAGTTACTAGATTTGTGTATCCTGATTACGTAACGCCGTTACATGTATTCCGTTACTCCCCAACCCTGATTATTAAGAAATTTGTTGTCTTTGCAGGAGAGCAGAGTCCAAATGTATCACTCATGCAGAGGATGTCGGACATGTTGTCACGCTGGTTCGAGGAGGCTAGTGAGGCCCAGAGCAGCAGACCACGTCCTCAAACTCGACCCAGAGGTAAAACAGCACATTTGAGAATTACAACTTCTCTTTCTACAATAAAGCAGCTCTCCATTGTATTCCTGTTTTGACTTGCGTCTGACTTTGACGTGGAAATGTTCTCTGGTTGATTTCTTCTGTTCAGTCTGTCAAAGAAGGCAGAGCCTCAGAGCACCTACCTATTATGTTATAATATAATAATCTTCATGGACCAATGGTAGTTTGAATGTGTTAATGAACTTTTCCGGAAAGTTTGCTTTGGCAAGCTGTTTTGAATTCCAAACCAACTTAGTTTGGACCTGATTTTGTTTTGAAATGACGTCACACCAGATCATTCTTCTGTTTAGCTTGAAGTATATCAGGGCCTTAAAAATCTTCCATGTGACTTACATTGGGATTTCACAATGTATTGAACTCTATGGAGGCATTTTCAACTTTGATCCTATTCGCTAATAAACATCAGCCATTGAACAATGCATCAAAGCATGTTATTTATTTAAAAAAATGAACTTAAATGATTTTAGCAAATGGCTGCAATATAACAAAGAGTGAAAAATTTAAGGGGGTCTGAATACTTTCCGTACCCACTGTATATATTATTTCATTTCCATTTAGTTTGTTGAAGTATTAAAATAACTCAAATTAAATCAAACTAAAACTTAATAAAAGACCTATACAGACATAATAAATTCAAACATAATTTAACTAAAATTAAAATAAATAACAAATACAAATAATACAAATCAAACGACAGTAGTTTATCAGTAATCCTAAAAAATAACACTGCCAAACTTACATGCTAAAAAACAACAACTTACTTACACATAGTAACAAATGGTTATAAAAACTGAAACAGAAGTGAAGCAAGTAGTAGGAAAGAGGAGAAATATAAAGCGATACTTATCCTTTGCCGGTGTCCCTGCCCGGTGGAGTCGCACGGTAGAGTCGATGGTCTTTACACTCTTCGGTCTTCCCACGAGGAGGTCGTCACGCGACGGCTGCCGCGGTAACCTAAGCTTTTTTTATACCCGTCTAACTAAATTAATTCAGCTGGACACACTTTCCTTATTTTTTTCCACAACAAATGGCCAAGCAAGCGCGGACACTGACAAGATACGCGATGTGTATGACACGCATGTGTCACACGAAAGGGTGTACATTTTCTTATTAAATGTTCTCTACTTAAAAAAGAAAAAAAAACTACACAAAATCAAAACTTACTCTTAAAAGTACGCTCAAGGTTTGATGATTTGACTCCAGGTACGTCAGCTCGACCAGAAGGGACATTTGCGACCTCAGAAACACACACTCGGGCACAGGAGCCCACTGAGGTCTCAGCTGAAGGAACGATGGAGGTGGAGACACCCTCCTCTGATCCTCCACCTACACCTGCTGCTCCTCCTGCACCTGCAGAGCCTCTCCCCAAGTCTATCTCCTGTTCCTCCTCAGGCTCCTCCTCCACTGTGACAGCCCCTGCCCCCTCCAGTTCATCCTCCATGGAAAGTGCTGCCGCCTCCTCTCTCCTCTCCTCCCCAGACACAGAGCAGAGGAGCCAGGATGAAGTTACGCCCACTCCATCGGCCACGCCCACTCCTTCAGCCACACCCACCCCATCTAGAGAGGCAGCTTTATCTGGTAAGTCTGTCACAATTGGCAAAACACTGAAGAGTGCATTCATCCTTAAATGAGGCAATAACATGTTTACATGCACATAATGTTCCATTTAAAGTCCATTATATTATATTTAAGCTTTTATTTTAAAAATAGATATTACACAGATATTAAAAAGTGTTTTTGTCCTCTTGTACACTACTGTTCAAAAGTTTGAGGTCAGTAAGATTTTGTTTAAAAGAAATTAATACTTTTATTCAGCAAGGATACAATCAGTTGATTAAAAGTGACAGTGAAAACATTTATAATATTACAAAGGCTTCTATTTCAAATAAATGCTGTTGTTTTGAATGTTCTGTTCATCAAAGAATCTTGAAAAAAATTTATCTGTTTCCACAAAAATATTAAACAGCACAACTCTTTTCAACAGTAATAAGACAGTAATAATAAGAAATGGGTCCTGATCACCAAATCAGCATATTAAGATGATTTCTGAAGGATCATGTGACACTGAAGACTGGAGTAATGGCTGCTGAAAATTCAGTTTGGCCAACACAGGAATAAATTACATTTGAAAATATATTTAAATATAAAACAGTTATTTAATTTTAAGTCATATTTTACAATGTTATTGTTTTTATTGAATTTTTGATCAAATAAATGCAGCCATTGTTAGATTTCTTTCTGAAAAATTAAAAACCTATACCAAACCCAAAGTTTTAAACTATAGCACCCTGAATTGCTTTTGACATACGCTGATATAATTTAACATTCTGTTACAGTTGATATCCCAAATAAAATGTGATCCATAGTTATGCAAATGTCTTAAAAGTATAAAAGTACCAAAGTATTGGCTTAATTCAGACCATATGGTCATATTCCAATAGTAATAAAATTTTTCTTGTGCATGTAAATGCAGTCATTGTATCTCTGCTTCATAAAGATGATGTGCTTGTAATGAACAAATTCATCTCGTTCCATTTATACAATAGGTCCATTTACCATGTCTGCTATACATCTTTCTATCATCCAACTCAATGCACTTTCTTTTTTTAAGACCTATGTGTTGACTGATTTGTTGTCCTCAGGTGGGGTTTATTTTTGAGCATTGTGTGCCGTTAGGGCCTGCATAAAAAATCACACAAACAGAAGCAGGATGCAACATGTAGTGTCTTTTGTCTTTTTTATATAATGATAAATCCCTCCTTTTTACTCATCGTGCCATTGCAGGCATTTTTATGTGTGCGTTTCTCTTCATGACCATAGAACATGTGTGGACGTGTGAGTGTAATACATGTTTTTTTTCTTTTTTCTTTGCAACGGGTGATGAAACCCTGCAGTCTTGTCTGACATCACTCAGCATGCAGCTTCAATCTTTAATTTGCTCTTTTACCCAGCATTCCTCCTTACCTATGATTTTCCTCTCTTCTTTTTCCCCATTCCATCAACTTTCCCATCCTGCTCTTCTCTCTCCCTCTGAACCCACACTGTCAGAATATGGTCCTCGCAGGCTGCCGGTAAGTTTAGTGTGTAGACGTTTGCAGAGACTGCTTCTCTTGTCTGACCCCCCTGGACAGGGCAGACGCTCAGTCCCTTCTGTACCTGCGACCTCCAGCCCAGAGAGCTCAGCCCAACAGGCTGCTGCTGCTGACGCGTGCCCCCCTGCAGGTTACCGTCTCTACCCAGCCTGCATCCCCGCTCTCGTTTAACATCCTGACCCCTCTGGCTGCCTGTTTCATGGCTGTCCTGGTTTGCTGCTGCACCTCTGGCTATGGAGAGTGTTCCTCTTCCCCTCTGCCACACAGACACGCACACATCTAACTGCTGGTCATTCACGCTCACATTCACCAACAGCAGAACTCTGTTCCAAAACTTAGGGAGCTGCCCAACTACGTGACATATTTAGACATCAGATAAACACCTGACACAAAAGCTGCCCAAAATCTTACTATCACAAATGTTCAGAGTCACAATGGCCATGTCTTTCCCAGTTTTGCTTTCCCACTTTTTTTTCAGGATTCTTTGATGAATAGACATTTGCTGCACCTCTGGCTATGGAGAGTGTTCCTCTTCCCCTCTGCCACACAGACACGCACACATCTAACTGCTGGTCATTCACGCTCACATTCACCAACAGCAGAACTCTGTTCCAAAACTTAGGGAGCTGCCCAACTACGTGACATATTTAGACATCAGATAAACACCTGACACAAAAGCTGCCCAAAATCTTACTATCACAAATGTTCAGAGTCACAATGGCCATGTCTTTCCCAGTTTTGCTTTCCCACTTTTTTTTCAGGATTCTTTGATGAATAGACATTTCATAAGAACAGCATTTATTTGAAATATAATTTTTTGGTAACAATGCAAAAATCTTTACTGTCACTTTTGATCAATTTAATCTTTCCTTGTTGAATAAAGGTATTAATTTTTTTCAAGAAAATAAATCTTACTTTTGAACACTTCTGAATTGACAATTGGGACAAATTGACTTCACGGACATGCGTCCACATCAAATGCACCTTGATTTAGGACAGGGCCTTAGAAGGTAGCTGCCTGTGTAGTCAGTAGTTAGTGAGGCAGCTTACTACAGTAGATCTTGGAACAGAGCTCAGATGTCAAACAATATGCATATACTGCCATCTGTTGATTGTTTGACCTGGAATGCAACCACATAATTGCATATAATGCTGGTTTGTACTGGTTTGTGTTGGCAGTTTTTTTTGGTCCTATTTAAACCTTGAACATTGATCCATTTTAATCTTGTTCTTTTCATGCCTTCTCTTGTTCTTCTTCCCTTTGCAATATTCCACAAAATACTTCTTAATGCTATCAGCGAGTGCGATGCGTTTAGTTATTGTAGACACTTATGAAATGGTTAGAGGAAAACTGAACGTATTTGTTGTCTATGAAACCAAGCAATTCAGGAAAAGTTCATTTTATTCAGTAACCCTACTGTGTGCAATGCATTTTTTTAGCTTAAAGCATTGCACTATTAGTTCAGCAACATCCTGACATCACATCTTGCTGGGTATTTGCAAACCATCGCCAAAAATGAATGACTTCTGGTTGCTTTGTCGCTGCAAAGCACCGTCAATGTGAACGTAGGTCTGGCATCTGAATAAACTTTTCTGCCACCATCAGTCTCAACTCCTGAACTACAAATTTCTGTGTGACTTTTTTATTCTGCCTGAAAGTGAATACTGCATTAAAGAAGGCTATGCATCAGTTTGTTCTTTATAAATTGTGCTCTTGTATTTGCTCACCTCCTGGATGTCATTTCACATTTTTGAAGGAACCAATCTGTACCCCTTGGCTTTGTGTCTTTAACCCAGAATTAAGCCTCCTAGACTCATCTTTACAAAGTTTGTGGCTTTTGAGTTTAGTGGGATGTTTTTTTTCTTTTCTTTACCCTGCCTGTGCTGCAGTGTGTTTCCTGAGGATTTAGGTCTGCACTTAAATGTTTGTACTGGCTCTTTTGTTTCAGTTGTTCAGTACTTCTTATTTTTGTTTCAGATTCTCCCTCATCTGTGGTAAACAAACAGCTTGGATCCATGACTCTGGATGAGGAGCAGGGTGCGTCTTTCCCTCTTTTTTCCTCTCCTTTTCTTTCACACCCTTGCATCTGAGCTCTATGCATTTCTGATTGAAGTGGCTCTTGTCCTCAATCATCTTAAGAAGACTGCAGATGTGCCTCTCCTTAAACAGAGAAACTTAAGAAAGATTCAAAAATGAATGACTTCTGGTTGCTTTGTCGCTGCAAAGCACCGTCAATGTGAACGTAGGTCTGGCATCTGAATAAACTTTTCTGCCACCATCAGTCTCAACTCCTGAACTACAAATTTCTGTGTGACTTGTTTATTCTGCCTGAAAGTGAATACTGCATTAAAGAAGGCTATGCATCAGTTTGTTCTTTATAAATTGTGCTCTTGTATTTGCTCACCTCCTGGATGTCATTTCACATTTTTGAAGGAACCAATCTGTACCCCTTGGCTTTGTGTCTTTAACCCAGAATTAAGCCTCCTAGTCTCATCTTTACAAAGTTTGTGGCTTTTGAGTTTAGTGGGATGTTTTTTTTCTTTTCTTTACCCTGCCTGTGCTGCAGTGTGTTTCCTGAGGATTTAGGTCTGCACTTAAATGTTTGTACTGGCTCTTTTGTTTCAGTTGTTCAGTACTTCTTATTTTTGTTTCAGATTCTCCCTCATCTGTGGTAAACAAACAGCTTGGATCCATGACTCTGGATGAGGAGCAGGGTGCGTCTTTCCCTCTTTTTTCCTCTCCTTTTCTTTCACACCCTTGCATCTGAGCTCTATGCATTTCTGATTGAAGTGGCTCTTGTCCTCAATCATCTTAAGAAGACTGCAGATGTGCCTCTCCTTAAACAGAGAAACTTAAGAAAGATACATAGGCTTTCTGTGAATCATTTTCAGTCAATGGACATACTTTTTCTCCCCTTCTGTGGGGCCAAGTTCATATAAAGCTCATCTTTCAAATAATGTCCTGTACACAGGGACACGTTTTTTCTTCTCACTCTCTACATAATGAGTTCAGCCTCCACAAGACTGATGTGGGCTTGTAACATCAGAATTTAGCTTAAAGGGGTCATAAAATTTAATTTATTCCTGTGATGGCAAAGCTGATTTTTTTTTAGCAGCCAGCAATATTCAGTGTCACTCGATCCTTTAGAAATCATTTTAATTCGCTGATTTGAAATACAGACTTTCAGTTGTTGTTTTTTTCCCTGTTTTTTTAATTATAAATTCAAATGAAGTTCTATAACATTAACACTTGTTTATGGTCTTTGACTAGGATAAAAAAAAACAAGATTTAAAAACAGTAAAAGTATGGTATGACTCCTTTAAAATGACTTTGCTATTCTGCTTTGGAATATGAACCAAGGAAACACCGATTTTGGTGATATTGATTCTTTACGGCAGTCCTCTTTACTCCATGTCCATACTGGTGTCTGCACATTTTCCCTGTCAGAACAAGACACCTTTAAGCCCTTTAATCACTTTAACTTGCATTGTGCTAAATCCTTGCTTTGAGTTAACTGCTTGCAATTGTTGAACTTTAACAAACTCTAATATAATTCTTTGTAGACTGAAGTCTATCGCTGCAACCCACTTTGCCACATACCGTTTTTTTCACCTTTTTTTTGTTTCTTTTTGGTCACAGTTTAGTTTGGGGACCAGTTCTCATAATGAACTAACTGTTAACTACAACTTTTTCCTCAATAAACTCCTAAATTGATGCTTATTAATAGTTGGTAAGGTAATCGTTAAGTTTAGGTATGGGGTAGGTTTAAGAGATCTAAAATATGGTAATGTAAAAAAGGCACATTAATATGTGCCAATATGCTAGTAATAAGCATGCTAATATTTCTCAGTGAAATCTGAGCATCTGAAGCTTAGAATGAACTAGAGGTCACTACTTGGCACGATAATCACATGCTAATATTTCAGATAAGCTGCTTCTGTGATTAACTAGTTGTGACAAATGTAATGTTCCTAAGGTAAGCACTCTTTCTAAAAGCAGTTAGATTTACATCCCACATGTTTCCTCTGTCTTCCTTCCAGGAGGTGCAGAAGCAGCAGGACATGTAATCAGTGATCAAAATACAGGTGTCAGTGAAGCTTCCCCAGACACTACAGAAACTGTGCTATCCACATCAGCGCCTTCACTTGGCACCAGCCCTGGCAACAGCAGTGGGAGCGGCAGCACTCCTCCAGGGCTTGGGCGGACTGGCACGGCAGAACCGGTCCTTAGTCTGCACTACAGCACTGAAGGCACCACCACTAGCACCATCAAACTGGATTTCACGGATGAATGGTGAGTGACCAGAGAATCAGCCTTAACCTCAGCATGCAAATCACCCCCTCAAGGCTCTAAAGAGCATTGCTATAAAATGCCTAGTTTATTAAAAAAAAAAAGTGTACCACAAAATAATGCAATGAAATGCCTTTCTGTTGCGTTGTTCAAACAACAAGCATACAGTACAACTAGTGTGATCCAATTCACAAGCAAATGACTCTAAAGAACTGGTTCTTTTAATGAATCATTCATAAAGGCTCACAAATTCCCAAGATATTATTTTGAAATAAACTGATAAAACCTGAAATGACTTGTTACTGAACCACAAGGCATTACTTTCATTCGTGTTCAACTTAAAATGAAGTGTCGTGTACGTAAGGTCCTGCATTTGAAATGTACATTTTTTCATGCTTTCATTGAGAATTAAAGCATGTTGTTATTGTTAGCTAAAAGTACAATTTTGAAAAAACATTTTCGTTAAATTAAAGATGAAATACAACAACTTAAAAAACTTGTTGCCTTGGCAATTAAATGAAGTAAAATCTGTTTGTGTAAGTATTAAAATAGCAAAAACTGAAAATTAAACCTAAATAAACATGTTAATTTTAACTAAAACTAAAACTATTTAAATTAATTTGCATTAATTAATATAAAGCTAGTTGAAAAAAATAAAAAAACTTTTAAAAAATTGCCAATTTAAAAATAAAGCTAAAAAGAAATATCAAAACAAAAATGAATAAAAATGACAAAAGCACATAACATAACAAAATGACTACAACTAAAATAAAACTGATATATATGTTATTATAATTATTATAATAAAGTAATACATCATTATAATTATAATATTATGATTCAAAATATTAATAAATACTATAATAGTATATAAATAATACTTGGGCAAGTACATATTCTCAAGTCAGATGTAAATTTTATGTATATAAAAACAAGTTATAAAACCAGTTCACAAAGACCCATTCCTTTGAAATGCAAATGTTTGTCTGAAATTCTCTATGGCTTCTTCCTCTATTTAATTGTGAGTATATTATTTTCAAGAATGGCATTTTTTTGTAAGAACAAATCACAAACTTTATTTTTCGACTGTGCACAGGAGCAGTCCAACGTCCGGTGTCAAAGGCAGCAGTGGAGGACATAAGCCTGGGGAGGTGGGTGAGAGCCAGACCAGAGAGGAGCCCACAGGACAAACCTCAGAGCAAAGTGAGTCGACAACCACTTGCCTATTGCTACAGAAGTTGTGTAGGTTGTGTGGCCTATTTTGGAGGTTATCTTAACTTTTCTCTCTCATAACCAGGTTCAAGCTCACCCTCAGAGAGTCAACCCACACCCGATGGGGGCCAAACTGCAGACAGTGGCACAGAAAAGACCTCCATCAGCTCTCAAAACAGCACACCACTGGCGGCACCACCAGAGGGCCTGTCTACTGAAGACACGGCTCGTCCCAGCGCTCCTTCAGAGGAGCTCCAGGCTGCTGGTTCGGGGGAGCTGAGTGAGCGGTGCAGGAGGAGCGAGACCGCAGGAACGGGTGGTCAGGGTTCGACTCAACCATCCCGCAATCAGGACTCTGATGACAGCGACGACGACCCCATCCTTATCCCTTCAGCCAGGTACAGAGGAGGGCCGGGACAGAGGTATGGACTTTCGTCATGTCGAGATGTTTAATCATGCAAATCATCACAATGTGTAGGCAAATGTTATAACAGACGGGAAGTCCCATAAAACATGAGCATGTTTGTTAAACAGTGTTTATCCTTTGGACAGTCATAAGTAAAATGCTACTCTTCTCATTAGATTTAATTACAGAGGATCAGCTGTAGGTGATAGGATGATAAGGTACTGTAATGTTTCTGAGATGGCCACTTATATAATCTAATTGCAAGGTGTGCAGATTTGATTTAATTTTAATTAACCTGGTATTCATATTGTGTGGCTGTGTAAAATATGTTATTAACTATATAATATATGTAATTAAGTAATTGCTGTTAACTTCACTGCCTGAGAGTGCACAAAATGTTTGCGTAATGTTTGCGTAATGACCCTTTGGTTAGTTACTAACCAAGCAAATTAATTTCATGCATGAATTTACAAGTTATTTTAGGTATAGTTGTTTGGAGTTCAGATTTCACCAAAAAAAAAAAAATTGAAAACAGTAGTGCTGCTTGATATTATTCTATTCATTCTTTGATAAATAGACAGTTTAAAATAACAGCATTTATTTGAAATGGAAATGTTATTATAGATGTCTTTACTGTCTCAATATAATGTATCAATTTAATGCATCCTTACTGAATAAAAAGTATAACTTTTTTTAAATTCTTACTGACCCCAAACTTTTGAACAGTAGTGTATATTTTTTCCACGATTTCCAAAAAATACCAGTTACTGTCAAAAAACTGTGCTTTCACTACAAACTAAGGCTATTCATCAGATTCACTCAATAAAACTTTTGTTCTCTTAAAGAGACCGTTACCAAAATACAGTTCTATAAGTTGCGCTGTATTTCCATGAAATATCACTTTTAACTATTATCCAGTCAACCTGACCACAATCTGGCTTTTTCAGATATATACATTTTAGTAAGCTTAGCTCACCAAAAAGATTTGAAGCCACATGGGGACTTCTCTTAGACCAGGGGTGCCCAACCCTGCTCCTGGCGATCGACTGTCCTGCAAAGTTCACCTCCAACCCTAATCAAACACACCTGATGCAACTAATTAGGGTCTTCAGGATCACTTAAAAATTAAAGGCAGGTGTATTTGATTAGAGTTGGAGCTAAACTTTGCAGGACAGTCGATCGCCAGGAGCAGGGTTGGGCACACCTGTCTTAGACCATTTGGAAGAAATCTAATGATTTTGTAACCCCCCTCTTTTTTCTTGTGCATTTGTTTTCCTCTACTTTGAAAAAATTATCTGGTTTATAAAGCAATACTGAATATAGTCTTTTTTTTACGTTTATGTTCAATATTTTCAATAATTGCTCTTTCTGAGGCAGTTCAGCTGATATTTATTTATGAAATCAAAAAAACAATTATATGAATTTAATGCACATAAAGGTTAATGCTTGATAGGTGAAGCATCTAGATTGTCTGCAAAAAAATTATTCAGATCTAATATTGTGTCTCGCACAATGCTGTAAGACATTATAAAACTGTTTAAGCTTGTGAAAATTTGACCATCCCTGACTAATATAGTGTTGAGCTGCTGTTTTAAAGTTGATTTTTCATAAGCATTATTCTGCATGCTCCACTTTTCATAGACGCTCCGCCGCGGCTCGGATTCAGGAGCTGTTCCGCAGGAGAAAAGAACGGCGAGAGATGGAAGAGAGTGAAACTCAGAATATCAGGAGACCCTCTGTCAAGATGATGTACAAGGGCCACCGCAACTCCAGGACCATGGTAGGGTAACTGTTTATTGTCTTATGTATATTGTACACAAAAGCAGCTTTCTGTTACTTATTAGTTCTAGTCATGTTTTGGAAAGAACCATACACTGATATTACATTAGCCTTTACTGACCTGGTTGTACATGTAGATTAAGGAGTCGTGTTTCTGGGGGAATAACTTTGTGATGAGCGGCTCGGATTGTGGCCATATCTTCATCTGGGACAGACACACGGGAGAGCACCTGATGCTGCTGGAGGCCGACAACCATGTGGTCAACTGTCTGCAGCCTCACCCTTATGACCCCAGTGAGCAAAACATACCTAAAAACAATAGACGGACAACCAATAAAGATTTTGTTTTAGATAATCACATCATTTGGTCTGACTTTTTTTTTTGCAGTTCTTGCTTCATCTGGAATTGACTATGACATCAAGCTGTGGTCGCCTTTAGAACAGTCACTGTCATTTAACAGAGTCCTTGCCGAAGAGGTATGGACAATGCTTTCTGTTTGAATTTGTGAATAAAGTACTGTTTTGATCCTTTAGACTTTAAAATATGTATTTAAAATGCATGTGCTAACACGGACCTGCTGTTTGTTTCGAGATGTAATTAAAATCCCCAGTAGAGGGCACTAGAGCTCTAAGTACTGTTTTTTTTCTATATATGAAATAGAGGCATTTTAAGGCAGTATGTCTATGCTGTAGCTATAGGAGTAAGTGTCCATTTATAGAAATCTACATGTGAATAGTTGGCAAACTGGTGGATTTAATTTCCTGATTTGTTTGTGTGCTGTAGGTGATTGCTCGTAATGAGTTAATGCTGGAAGAGACGAGGAACACCATCACCGTTCCTGCTTCCTTCATGCTCCGAATGCTGGCATCATTAAATCACATCAGAACAGGTGAACTTTTTTGTGTTCTTTTTTTTAACTCACTGACTGTACCCATACAATTAGATCCAAAAGTCTTGAGTCCCCATTGAAAACTTGGCTTTTTTCACTTAAATATGGAAAAAATAATTAAAAACATTTCTGGGGTCTTTTTTGGGGTCAGTATGATTTTTGCTTTTTTTTTTTTTAAAGAAGGCAAGAGTTCATGCAGCTTAAAGGCACAATATGTAAGATTTTATTAAAATATCCAAAAACTACGAGAACAGTGTTATATATTTTGCTGACTTGTGTACTTACGTTATCCCAAATGTTTCGAAGAATGTTTAAATCCAGAGAAATAAGCAATTTTAACTAGTGACACGGACCGTGTCCATAGTGTCATTGTGTCGCCTGCCAATGACGTCATAACCCCTCGATTTCCGGTTTTGTTTTGTAGAAAAAATGTAAACACCAAAGACGCTTTAATATGCTGTGCGTTTTAATAGACCGGGGACGACCGCACAGAGTAGCATTATAACAGAACTTTCAAATGTATCTAGTATGATAAAACAGCGCTGCTTTTTTTTCCCCACATGCACACGACCGGAAGGAGCGGAAGCGGTCGACTGTGGCATAATAAAAGCTCCGCTTCTTTCGAACTGTGTGTCACGCTCGTTCAGCGGCCTCGTTTCACTTCGACGGCTTCCAGCCTCACCCTGCTTCATTCTACTACGTTAACAAATCATTAGCTCATCCATGAACATGATTTCTGCCCGAGTCCCGTTGGATTGCATCGGCTGTGTGCATGAAGACCACAACTCCCATGACTCCACACTCGGTCACAGCATCATCAAACTATGCCTTTGCTTCTTTGTTTATTTTGAATATGCGCCCTCTAGCGGCAAAAATTGCATATTGTGCCTTTAAGTGCTGTTGTCATTAAAGTAAAAGACACTTAATGAATTTGGTCTAATTATCTTTAAAGATAATTTAAGAAGAATAAAATCTTTTATCAATCAATATTTACACTGCTTTTTTTTTTTTTTAGCTGGCCAGTGTTTATTAGTGGATACTTACTCCAGCTTTTGGTTTTACCACCTTGAACAGGTGTCTAAATGACCGATCTTTCTTCCTCTTTCCTTCTGTTAATCTCAGACCGTGTGGAGGGTGATCGTTCAGAAGGCTCTGGACAAGAGAACGAGGATGAACAGTAGCCCTCCTGCTACAAGTGAATGGTTTTTATGCTACAGTGCACTTGAGCATTTGAGATTTGTACAAGTTACAAAATAGAGTATTTCCTTATTAGTTCAGTTTTTGGCATTATTATTTTTTAATGAGACTTTTCTTACCAATTACTCTATATGAGAGTAAACCGCGTCTGGGGAGTTTATGCAAACAAGATGATATGTAAGAAATCGAAAGATGTGACTGGACTGGACAGCTGGTGTTTGAGAGTATTTAAGTGCAATATTAATTTGTTAAATCAAACGGTTGAGCTTTGAGCGGTGTTAAGTGTGAAATCTTATTGTAGCCTCAAATGAAGAACTCAGATGTTTGTATACCAGGAATTATGCATGTCAAGCTTGAGTTTGCTAAAAACATATTCTCCATGTCTTTACCAATGTTGTGTATAAAAATGGCTCTTTTTTTTGACATTACTAAATCTTGCGTTGCACAGGGATCTTCTGCCTAACCCCAATTTACAGGTACTACTTGCAATATCTCATTATCCAAAACAGCCAATACTCATTGTTACACTGCAGAATTTTTATAAAAGTTTATTAAAATGAGAACTGTTTTTGACTCCGTCTATACATACAACCCACTGCTGTCTAGCCAAATGGTTCTAGCGTTAGTTGGCAGGTCGTGCTTCTCTCTCCTAACAGCACAGATGGCCTTTGTTGTGGCAGCTGTTGACTTGAGCATTCTGCTAAGTGACTAGTGATTGCTGGGAAAAGCTAAGATGAAATATCTCCTCGTCTATTAGCATGCCATTCTATGCTAAACTCATTCAGCACTGTTAAGGAATGCAAGCCATCTTTTTAAATGTTTGTCCACAAATTTTCAGATCGAGATCCGGTTCCTTTTCAAACCATGTACCAGAGGACAGTTTAAACATTAAATGTGTTGTGATTCAAACAAAACATGACTGAAAGCTTGAGTACCCATAAAAAAAATTATTAACAGTACTAATAAAAATAAAAAAAGCATTATGTGCTGTGGTTTGCAAACAAATAATGCAGCCATTGACAAAGAAGCCTATTAATATTGGTATATAACTGACTGGCATAATGCAAAAAAAAGATTCCACAGGAATGATTAATCCTTACGGAGTACACTAACCAAAATAGTAAAAACAAAAACACAGATGTGAGAAGTCACTGATCAAATGTAACAAAATCTTCGTGCAATTGTACCAATGACTTCAGTATTGGCACTGCAGATGCTTTCTCGCACCATTACATTGTCAAAACATTTTAATCAGCTTTTCCACCAAAAACTATGGATAAAACCGGGTATAAGGGTATTCTACCTTTTTTTATGCCCAGTATCTCTCTCTCTCTTTACATGATTCTCTGATGTTAATTCAATGCCTGAAGAAATATTTTATAATGCGTAAGGGCCTGAAAAGTGATTTCCTTTGTCCACGTCAATATAACCCCCTAGACATTTGGTATATTTTCTTTGAACCTTGTGGCACTTAAAATAATTTAATATATGAATAGACCTGAACTTAAAATGGTGGAGAGGAGAGCTCTAGGATAATCATTCTTACAAACTGTCAGTATGTATAAAATGGAGTGGTTAACAGTTTCCTTCTAAGAAAAGAGTAAACATAAGACACACAGTACCCAACACAGGTGAAATACCTGACAAATATACAAGGGCTGTACATGACTTTACAATAACTTTTATGTTGCAAAAACATAACTACTTCTGATGAGTGACAGTAGGGCTTCTAGTACCTGATGCCTTGCAGGTACAGCCATCACTGTAGGTCTTTGGTCTCTCCAAGGCAAGTAAGTAGCAGCAGTTGCTAGCTAAAATAATCAAATTGATGTTCTTTACCAAGTATGTAAATTACACATGAATCACTGTATATCTGTAAACATTTACCTTAATCATTCCTTTAATGTTCTGTACCTTTAAAAGCTGCAGATTACACAATCCGTTCCATTTACAGAGTCAAAGAACTACATGGAAGTTTCACCTATTTTTTCCTTACGCTCTTCATCATCGTCATCATCTTTAACTATTCCTTCATCGATGCTTTCCATCCTGAGTCTCTGTCCATCCAGGTAACGGGGAGCTCTCTGTGTGTTTCGTATTGTAAACAGACTTGTTGGAATTTGAGTCCATTCCCCAAAGAGTTGAAGCTTGGCATCGTTCTCTATAGCCTTAGCCAGAGAGGACACAAAGCTGTCCAAAGACTTGTGGATGTCTGCTGTCACTTGGACTACTGAGGGGTCACCTTGAGGGAAAAGAAACGGTAGAACATTAAAATATTAGGCACATCAACCATAACTCCTTCAAAAACAGCCAGAAACCTTGGAGTTATGATTGATGATCAACTGAGTTTCTCAGACCACATTGCTAAAACTGCCCGGTCCTGCAGATTTGCTTTATTCAACATCAAGAAGATCAGGCCCTTTCTTTCGGAACTCCTTGTTCAAGCTCTTGTTCTGTCCAGGCTGGACTACTGCAATGCTCTCTTGGCAGGTCTTCCAGCCAGTTCTATCAAACCTTTACAATTAATCCAGAACGCTGCAGCAAGATTAATTTTTAACGAGCCGAAAAGAATGCACATCACACCTCTGTTTATCAGTTTGCACTGGCTACAGCTGCTCGCATAAAATTCAAGGCATTAATGTTTGCCTACAAAACCACCACTGGCTCTGTACCCCTTTACCTAAATTCATTACTTCAGACTTATGTGCCCTCTAGAAGCTTGTGTTCTGCAAGTGAACGTCACTTTATTGTGCCATCCCAAAGAGGCACAAAATCACTTTCTCTGACTTTTAAATTAAATGTTCCCTCCTGGTGGAATGACCTGACCAACTCGGTCCGAGCAGCTGAGTCCTTAGCCATCTTCAAGAATCGGCTAAAACGTTTTTAGATTTTGATTGCTTCCATTGTCCTCATTTGTAAGTCGCTTTGGATAAAAGCATCTGCTAAATGTAAATGATACACTTCCCATTTCAGCCTTTAAACCATTTTTAATAAAAATGGATGAGTCATAAGTATTAATTAATATATTATTAATTTAAACAATTATTTTAAATAAATTATTATATTAATTAAATAACCGATATAAATACATTTTACTGTTTAGATTTTTATAATGCATTATCTTATCGATCCACCAGTTCACATTTACAGCTCTGAGTGTTTGCAGGGTAAAAACATGGGTCGATTTTCACATTGGTCTGAACAAAAACAACCCCAATACTGTGTTCCTGCAATACTGGAGGCTGCAGTTTCAGGACCGCATTTCTACTATAGGACCCTATTCCAACAGAGACCAGATTCAAACATCAAACAAACAGATCCATGGAAACTATTCATTTTTTTATCTTTCCATCTTATTTTCAATGCAAGAGCTGGTGTGAACCTGAGTGTGTGAGGCGATGTCAGCAATCTCCATTTAGCCATAGCTGTGAAAAACAGTTCATTGTGCTGCTGGATGTGACAACTTGTGAACTAGTATTTGTATTCAAATTATTTAAAATGTCTTTATGTACTAATAAACACACTATTTTGTTCTGCATACATACAAAAAAAACTGCAGCCTCCGGTATTGCAGGAAAACTGGCTTATTGAAAATGCACATTCATTCTCTGCCAGCAGGAGGCACTTACGGAACGGCAGAAATAGAACTGTTTCCCTGGTAAGAACATTTCCCCAGCAGAACACAAAGCAGCGCAACACCTGACTCTACAATGCGCAGCGCTCATATTTATTCAATGACATCATAGCCTTTTGAAGTTTAATCTCACATTAAGCCATATTGCAATTCTCCTCCTGAAATCATAATTAAGACTTTCTTGTACAATTTAAGACTTTTTAAGGCCTTAAATTTGATTCAACTAAATTTAAGACTTTTTAAGGACCCGCGGAAACCCTGAGTATGACATGCGAAGGATTAACAAAATCCTTTGTCAGTTTGTGAAAAAGCCATTTATAATAGTGTCTTTACAACAGAGGTTTGTGAGGCAAGATGAAAAAGCAGAATTATGAAGTTTCTTATGTATAAAAATTTGAGATGCAAGTTTGCAATTATTAAGGTTGGACTACTGTTCTAAACAGATAAACAAGTATGAACTTGTTGAACTACATTTCCTTACATCTATCATGTAAAAATTGACAATTTTAATGGCTTAACATGGCCATGACAGTTTAAAGACTTTTTAAAAAAAATTTTAATTAAGAAGCGCAACCATTTTTTCAACATTGATAATAATAAATGTTTCTTGAGTGCCAAATCAGTATATTAGAATTATTTCTTAAGGATCGTGTGACACTAAAGACTAGAGTAAAGGCTGCTAAAAATTCAGCTTTGCCATTACAGGGTTGAGTTATATTTTAACATATCTTAGAATAGAAAATGGTTATTTTAAATTGTAGCAATACACAAAATTGCTGTTTTTACTGTATTTTTGATCAAATAAATGCAGCCTTGTTGAGCATAAGAGACGTCTGTTTAAAAAAAAAATTCTAGAGTCACTTTCTATTTGCTTGGTTTTGTACTGGTGATAACTAACAAAGACATTTTTGCATTAGTCAGATGTAAAATAAGAACATGTTAGATACCTTTAGGAATCCGATCCATTTGGTCTTCGAATGTGACAGAACTTCTTTTATTGGCAGCACAGTGGGCTGAGTGGGAGGGCTCTGAGTTGTAGCTGTCCAACAGCATGACGTCTGTAGCTAGAGGGTAAATCACAGCAGGCATCTTTCAATCAAATATCAGTTTTAATACTGCTCAACACCACCCACCCACACCAGTCTGGACACTGTGGGAGAGCCACTAAGCAGTGCCGTCTGTCTGTTATGCGATACTCATGGGCTCTGGGTTTCCTCAAATGGCACACCCTGATAACAACAGTCTGCAAGCCAATACACCACCTCTGCTGACTGCTAAGAGCTGTGGGGGGTTGATTTGGTTTGGTTTTCTTATACTCAAAGAGGTAAGGATGCAGCAATATTAAAATCATGGTCTATACTGATAAACAATTATATTAAAATTATATTTAAATTTATCGATGTAAATCAAAACACTAAAAACTAAAATCAGTCATTTTAAACAAGTGAATTTAGTCATCACAACATTATAATGTACAGTATGAAGTAAATGAAGCATGGATATTTATATTGAGGTTTGCTAAAAATTACATTTAACGGTTAATAAATTAACATTCATTTTAGGATGAATTATTCCTTTAAATTATTTTTGACCAATGTGTAATAAACAGCAGAATGTCTACCTGAGTCCTGGGTGTAGCTGAAGCCAGTGTCTCCAGTGCTGCTGCCACGGCCCAGGAGCTGCCCACCGCCCACTAACATGGCCGTCAGGTGAGGAGACATTCCCAAATCTGTTTTAAAAAAAAGACTCTCAGACTTCTCATCCAAACATTAGGTTATGAAGAATCCCAGGATGCAAATAACAGCAGCAGTAGACTTACCCGTTATCCAGTTAGAGATGCTGAAGAGACGAGAGGTCTGGTGCCGTATAACAAAAGACTCTCTGTAGTAGCGGTCGCCAAAGCACATGCCCAACAACTCCTTACGTACTGTCTTGTTCCACAGCCCATAAATAAGCGGATGACACACGGCACTGGTGAAGGACAGCCAGGAGACCAACGTCTCCATCTGTGAAGAAACACTGTCTTTACCCCACAGTGCTTCTGTGCTGATAACTACCACATATGGACCCCAAGTGGTCAGAAACGTCCCCAGCACCACCAGAATGGTGACGAAGGCCTTGCATTGGCTCCCAGAGTACACCAGGCTCTTGCGGCTTCCACTAGAAGATGTGGAAGTATTAGAGTTCTTGCGGCCGTTCTTCTGAGAACTGGACTCCTCCTGAGCCACCACCACGCTACCACAGTAAACCTTCCGAGCTTTGATGCGGGCCACACGGAAGATAACGCCATAGCAGATCAGCATGGCTGCCAGTGGCAGAAGGCAGCACCACGTAACCCAGAAGGCAGTATAGCTGATCTCCTTGTGCCAAGCCACTGTGCAGGTCCACTTGAAGCGGTCAAACTCGAACGCGGACCAACCGAAAAGCGGCGGCAGGCATCCGACCAGGGAGTGGAGCCACGCGTAAACAATGGCGAGCACAGCTCGGTTTCCCGTGATTTTCATGGGGTAGATCATGGGATATAAAACAGCATAGTACCTAGAATGAGACAGACATTGAAATAAAACGGATACACTTCAATCATTCCCTCATGAGAGACACATGACTAGCTAATGGAAAGACAAGGGGGTCTTTCTTTAAGACTCTCAAGCTGCCAGAAATAAAGTAGAGTGTGGCTTCTAGGTTTGTGTATTGATACAGCTGAGTAGGTTTGATATTTTTCAGTGTGCATCTTGTTCGTGAAAACAGTGGATTTGTTTAAGCAAGACTAGACTGAAATATCATGGTGAACTACAGGCTTAAAGAAATACAGTATGACCATTGACTGCAGCAGTCAAAAATAAAAATTGACAAGAATTGTTTTTGAATGAAAAACATGGTCATTCAAAGTCATTGTATGTATGAATTGCATTTTAACGTATTTTTAAAGAAATTCATAGATACAAAAAGTTAGTTCCATGTGACTGACTCAAGTAAATATACTTGAATTTACAAAAAAATTACAATATACAATCACATGTTGTATTATAACATCTCTAATTCAAGTACATTTCTGAATTGAATTTCTGTTTGATTTTTTAAGTAGTGTGGCATAATCATTTATTATTATTTCTTGAGAGAAAAAAAAACACATTAATATTTAATGTAAAGTTTGTCCACCAACTCAGACTCATATAGTCCCACCAAAATGCAGAAAAAACAAAACAAAACAGGAAATTATATCACAGAGTGGACCTCTGCAATCCCTTATGACCTTGTCAAGGTCAATTAACATTTTAAAATATCTAATAATTTTAACATTGTCACTTTTTTTTGGACATGGCCAGGTTAGTTCAGGCTGTAAAATGTCATGTGGTGTGACTTTCTTAAAATAAACTATACTTATTAATTACTATATTATGAATGAATGATTTGTGATATTTGTAAAATAAAAAAAATTACATTTTACTTGATGGTTACACCACGTTCCATTTTTTAGAGTCATTAAATTTCACTTTTTCTTTTTCTTTATCATGAACACTCCTATTGACCCTTTTATACAAGGATTCCTCAAACTGTAGGATATGATAACATAAGGACTGACCTGTCAATGGCAATGGCTCCAAGTGTAAGCATGCTGGATGAGCTGACGAGTAAATGGAGCAGTGCTGTGAAGTTACACCATACCACTCCAAACATCCAATCCCGACGCACTGAGCTGGCCACAACGAAGGGCAGCATTAGGACAGACAGCAGCAAATTGGACAAAGTCAGGCTGAAGACAAATTTGTTACTGGGTGTCAGTAAGTAGGGCTTCTTATATAGCGTCACCACAATGACCAGATTCCCCAGACATGCCAATATGGCTATTATGATGATAGAGACAGACTCCAGGACCACGAGCCCGTCGTCGTCCAGGCCATTAGTGGAGTTGGCCACCACTGTCCCATTCTTAGAGCTGTTCATTATGGGAGGCTGCTGGGTACCCAAGTCTGGACAGACATGTTGACAAACTACAAGATACGAGAGAAAAAGCATCTGATCAAAGCTGTCTGGAACTTCTGAATGCTAAAAGATGAAGAAATTATCTGGTGTGGTGTTCACATTCTTACAATACGCTGTTTGTTAAGAACTGGGCTGTGCTGTGAAAAACTCTAGTCTGAAGAGACTGTTCTACCAATTTAGAATCACATGACGTAAATTAAACATGTTTCACAGCTATGCACACAAAATATGCAAGCTTTACATCAGGTTGGCAGGGTTACTGTAGACAATATTAAGTTTACAATAATGAGATTTAAGATTGTTAGAAAACACTGTGCTGTTAAGAGAATGTTCCAGATATGCCTCACCCCTCCTTTTTTTCCCTCTCTCTCTGAATCCCCCCTCCTGTATCCATTTCTCTCTCTTGTATTATGTTTTAAATATCTCTTACTCATATGTGAGGTATGCATGCTTAAATGTATACATTAGTTCTTGGTTTAAAGGCCCCAATAAGGACATGAATGTTAGGACTACAATGGTAAAGGAGTTCGTGAGGGACTCTGAAGACAGTTCAGCATTCTTCGCAAAAGTCTATTCCTAATATGTCCATGTTTTTCTGTACATGTGGCCATTTTATATAAACACATGTTCTTGGCCAAAGATCCTATGTGTATGTTATTCATATTCTCATTGGTTAAGAGGGTGAAACTCCCCTCGACATATGCCTATATAATATCTGTATTTCTATGAATAAATTGAAGTATTGAGGATACATTTGACTGTGTTTTCTCTTACTTCCCGGCCGTCTATTTACACTTTGGGAGACTGAGAAGATTTCACGGTGGCAAAGAGAATTTACAGAGGGACCAATTGTTATTCTTTATTAACAAAGATCATTATATAAAATCTGGAAAAAAAAAACTGATGACGACAACAATAACAAACAAATAAAAATCAGAACAAATATTTGGACACTTAAGCCACACTTGTAGATATATCACTGCATTACATAACAAATACATAAGAAAAAAATAGATATAAGAAATAAAAAAAACATATCACACAAGGAAAAACTTAGTGCAGTTAAAATCTAATGCAATGAATTTCATATAGTTCATGTGCAGCTTAAGTATCCAAATGCGTTTGGAGCCACTGCATATGGATCATCTGTCACTCATACCTCTTCAATAAATCGTTCACCATGATGCACGTCCAATGAACAACTACAGCACAGCAATGTGATCAGCCAACGGAGAGAACGAAGCGCACACTGATTCTTTCTCTATTTATCCAACAACAGCGGCTTTTTTGCATTGCACAAAAATGTGTTTCCGACCCTTTAGATTCAAAATGCATAGTTTATCCTAATTAAATGATAGATGCATGGATAACGTACCCAGGCCAGGCGATATCCCGCTGTAGCCGAGCACTGGTAACTTTCTCCGGCTGGCTGGCTGGCTTTGTTAGTCTGCGGCCACAAACTTTAATCCAAAAACTTTCTCATCTCCTGCAAGATGCTGGGCTTTCTCACGCTTTCGAGGAACAAAAAACGCTTTACGGAGACGCATGCTCGAAGTTTCAACGCAGTTACAAAGTATTAAATGACTGAGGGATGTTGATTTGTTGCGGCCGCTGCGGTCGGCACTGAATAAAGAGGCGTTGCTGACGTCACAATGGCCCTACGTCACAATCCTCGTCTTGAAAACTTCCCTCCATCTCTCAGCTGCAGACAGTCCAGAGGGTCTCACTCTCACCGACTAGCCTACATAGTCTGCTCTGCAATTTTCTCATGAAGAATAATATCTATAAAGACTGCAAAAATCGTTTGGTAATTTTTTTGTGTCTGTGTTCCACCAAAAATATCTACACGTTAGAACTAACAGTGCGATTTAGCTATACTTAAAACAACAAAAAACTATCTATCTATCTATCTATCTATCTATCTATCTATCTATCTATCTATCTATCTATCTATCTATCTATCTATCTATCTATCTATCTATCTATCTATCTATCTATCTATCTATCTATCTATCTATCTTAGTACTTGTAAAGCACGTATTAATGCCTTATTCTGCATGACCATGTATCTAAATATCTATCTATCTATCTATCTATCTATCTATCTATCTATCTATCTATCTATCTATCTATCTATCTATCTATCTATCTATCTTAGTACTTGTAAAGCACGTATTAATGCCTTATTCTGCATGACCATGTTTTAGACCCCGTGATCTAACTCATACCTAAATTTAAGAACTAGCATACTATTAATAAGCAGCAAATTTGTAGTTTATTGAGGGAGAGCTCTTAATTAATAGTGAATATGTGTTCTCTATTCTAAAGTGTTATCGAAAATACATAAAAAGTCAATAAAATAAGGGCAAATTAAAGGAATTGTGAAGTTAATACAACTTATCATTAAATAAGTTTAAGTAATTCTGTCTAGACTGTGTAAAAATCTATAACTAACACCAATTTAAACAAAATGATTATTTAATAAATTTGGGTTAAAAAAATATAAAAATGAATAATGTTCTGGAACATAGATTGAAATATTGTGGCTGATTATGAGAAAGGGAAAACTCTTGAAAGTGTTTTTATACGGCAGTTAAAATACTAGGCATTATTTTGCATTCAGTGTGTGTTTGTGTGTGTGTGGGGGGGGGGGGGGGGG